TCTAACAAAGTTAATCACAATACTCTACTTTAATGAGGAGAGTTGCCACTGTGTTGGAAAAAATTTTCACGTTCGTGATTCGGCAAAATTCTTCTCAAACTGGACTAATTGTATCTTTAACTACTTTGTTCATCTAATTCGACGTAATAAAAGTGGATGAGGGCAACACTATGGTCGCTCGCTATCCCAGCCCAGACATTGACATTTTGTTTATGTTGTGTTTGGTTAGGTTTACATGCCTGTTCTCCCAATTGCGAAATTTGACGGTTTACTTCTTCACATAAAAAGAAGGACGCTTTGTCAGAGAAACAAATGTGTCCCGTTACACTGTCAAAATTCAACTGTTTGTCTAAATCACTATCCCCAAATTCTTGGTGAATTTGGTTCTTGTATGGATGGATCTTGTTCATCTCGAAAATCCTGGCCATACTTGTATGTGACACGCCAACTTCATTCATCAGCTTCGCATGTAAACAGCTGAAAATATTCCAGAAACATCAACTTCATGATGACTTTGATTAGTAGCAATTTATGGCCTTACTAAATGAGATAGTCTTACACTCCAGATAGCCCTCGTGTAGCTTTGTGCGAAATTCAAACCATTCTGTTTGATAACAAAGTCCGCTTGTTATAACTGTGTTTTATAACCAGGTCCGCTATAGTGCTTGAATGTCGTTTGTTTCGTAACTAAGTCCGCTCTATAGTGATTAAATATCGTTTGTTTTATAACCAAGTCCACTATAATGCGGAAATAAGAAAGTCCTCTTCATCCCACACAGAAAAAAATTAAACCATGTAAAACTGAGTAAAAAGATGTTTAAAAAGCCCCGACGAAAATGTATCACAATGGACAAATGTTGAGAAACTAATACGAAAAATTAACAATATAAAAACCCGAAATGTTAGCTACAACGATATAGGGTACAATAGATGTAAGCTGTGCGACGTGAATAGAAAAAATTTTTAGACGTCAGATAAACATACTTTCTTCTGACGTGCACTATATATATACAAGCTGCTTTATTTGAAGGCTAACAATGGTTTGATCAATAACAGTTTGTAGCCTATGAAGGATTTTGCTTCTTGTTTCTAAATGTAGGAGAAGCGACTACCTTTGTACATATTTATACAAATCCCCAAACATTTTCTCATTATTTTATTTAAATATTTATTAATTTGGGAAGTAAATAATTTTGCTTCAAGTGTTTAAATACACGAGAAACTAACAGTTAGCTATGTAATTCTTCAAACGTTTTATACCGTATGTGAACATGATATAGTATGGTTGGCATGGTGACGTGACGTATGGTATATAGCCAATCAGGTACAAGTGCATGCGCTGTCCTTAACATCTAGTGTTCCATCATGGAAGATTGTGTGTTTTACAGCTTTCTTTCAAAATGTATCAACTGCATCTCGTATGTCACGTTGCTGCGCCACTTAAGAATTGTATGCATAGCACTTACAACCAAGGAAAAAGCCCATGTGACCAAGTTGTTTATATACAGGCCTATGTAAATTTCTTATTATTTATACATTGTAAAATGAAAAGAAATAGTTAATTCCACTTCCAGGGAATGCGAGCTTGAACTCCAGACAAGATTAAAAGACTTGGCTATATAAATAGCAATTCAAGAATCTAATATTAACAATCAAACAAATCTACCTCTATTCATTTCCACTTCTGCTGACATTATTTCTAAAAGTGTTAAGATCTTTTTTTAATTAAAAATCAGTAAAAATTCCGATAAAACCTAACCTCTTATTCCCCAACTTTCATAAAATAATAAATTTTGCCAATTCTTTACGCTTTTCACTCACGAATATCCAGCCTTTTTGACGAAACTAAAATGCTGAAGTCAACCCTTACTCAAGAAGGACAAAACACCGACTCTTGAGAAAAATGACAGCGGTACCGTTTACAAAGATCCGCCAAGTGCAACACAATTGTATCGATCATTTGGATTAACACTTCTTTTCTCAACCTGCAAGCTAACTTAACCTCATTCAGAGATACCAAAATACCTTCTTTTACAGATAGGTAAAACTCAACTTTCGAATGACATACCTTTTCTTCGTCCTTTCTACTGACGTATACGTTTTATAACATTCCCAACCTGCGGTACATGTACCGCCAGGGGTACATTTACAGTTCTCAGAGTGTACACAAGGGTCCGAGATTATAAACTTCTCCGACTCGTAAAACACGTGAGATGTCCACACAAACCACCACTGCAGGGAGGAAAAAAGGCACCCAGACACAGCCACCACTTACCACTGACGCCATTCAACAGACCACCAGCACGCATCCCAGCCCCAAGCCATTGCCTCCAACACCTTCAACGTCTAACTCATCGGACGCCCTAGTTATCGACACCTCCCCCGACCCCCACCCACCTGACGAACCTTTCTCAGCCTTCCGATATCTTGCCTCCGACACTGAGAACCCCACGCCTTTACCTCGAGCCCGGAGCCAGAAACTTAGCCTGTTCACTGCCACAATAAACTCCAGGAGACAGCACAACGATTACAAGAATTAATCACCCCCCAGCACTGGTCTTCACTTTGCCTTCCCTACTTGCGACTTACTTCTTCTCAATAATAGAGCACTGGTAACGGATCAAACGTTACCAGTGAAAGTGGGTTTTTCCCGGGGCACTCCCGTTTCCCCCACATTAAATTCTCGGCATAGGATTTCTAAATCCCGCCGCCCTGAAGGACCATCTGTCCGATATCGGCCGTTTTGTGTTTTGTCTAGCCTTAAGGTACTCTGCTTCACTTTTCTTCTTTTGTTTACTTAATTACCCTTAGCCCAATTCGGCTCAGTACTCCGCTGACCTCTAAACGTCATGTAACATTTTACCACGAGCGGGGTGAAGGAGGATTGCTTAATCTTCGACCATCCCAGATTAATAATTATTTTT